GCACGAACTACCCATGCATACGTGGCCAAAGCCATAAAACAGTGGACACTTTCATAAACGCTATAAATTAGTCTCGCACGAAACTTGAGGTTTTCCAATGCTTCCGGTTTGTAAATGATAGGAAGCAACTCATAACGCGAACACAGTTCTCAATTTTATTAACGCTCGTATATTAAATGTTTCGTGCCAGGAGTTAATTTTGCAAAGTTCACTATGAACAAACGATTTTATTAGTTGTAAACGAAATGAACGTAAAACTCTAACTTTGCAACGTTCAAAGTGCCATTTATATCCATTCGTTTCGACTGAAAATGTTACAGAGATAATTTTCGGAAAATTGGTACTCGCGTTTTCAAATTACCATATTACGATATTGTCAAAGTATCGATATCGGTGTCACAAGTACCATTGTTTAACGGAGAAATTTTCGTGTTAAGAAATTATCCTTCTATTCTCGAAATGGTCCAAGTATATACGTACGTTTATGTTCGTCTAAGGCATTTATTATGCTTTCTTCTTCTATGAAAGAAAATTCTTGTACAAGTTGCTCAGTAAGAGAGCTTCAAGAGAAACATTACGAAAATGGTTTTCCCATGCAGGAGGGCCTAGAAAATGCTTCTAGACCGACCTTGTTTGCGCTTTAATGCACATTCCTATAAACGTAACGAGATGGTACGCTGTTCGGAAGAAAAAGTAGTGATTCGGATAAATGGAGGTAGATATGAACCTTCTGAAATGGCGTACGACATGAAAGAATTAGATATTCGCAAGAATTGTAAATTAACCCTCCCTGACGCCGAATAACTTTTCATCCCTTACTCCGTCATGTCTCCGACTTCGAGTAGACTGTTAATAATATAAAAGTCTTATGGGTACGAATAAGCAAATACTTTGTATAATTAGTTAGGCATGATGCTCGTAAATGGAAATAAAAATGATTTTATATAAACCCTATATCTATATTGTTAACAGAAAAGTATGAACTTTCTAAATTAGAGTACGTAGGGATTAATAGGACATTAGGTGCGATCCTAAGCGTCTTATGAATCGAGCCTAAAAATATTCCTGTTCCACATGAAGAACAAAAATCGAATTCCGCGAAATAAAATTTGTGGAAAATATATACATGGACAGTTGAAACCGTTGGCTACGGTTTTACACCGTCTCTATCGACTCGCGAATCTACGCGCGCCACAAATCACGTGGAATTCGCGCAACGAAAAATCCCGAGCGCGAGGAACGAGAGACGGAAGATTTCCATGGAGGTGGGCAGGAATTACGAGGGGGCAGGGTCGACGGATCTAGGGCGAAATCGATAAGCGTCGCGCGGCCATGAATCAGCGTCGATGTGTTTAGACCGCCTGCGGGATTTGGCAAAGGATCCCGCAGGATAATCTCGACAAAACCACCACGGGATAACGTCGCTACTAGACAACACGTGTGGAAAGAAGCGGCTAAAGATGGACACTGATCCCGACGAACCTTGCGCGCGTAAAGCTCGATAAAGAAACGCAGAAGGGATGGAATCGTGGACGCGAAGAAAGGGAAGGAAAGGTGAAAAAATCTTATTTAATGGTACAATGAAACAGGATACATTTCTGAGTGAGATATAGTCGATAACGAGCTTAGTATCTCTCTTTGATCTCGCCTTTTCACCTGTCTTCTCGAAGGCCAAATACTCCTGCGAATTTTCCCACGTTTTTTATGTCTGGTCCTCAAGCAGAATCTCGCGGTTGATCTTGGGAACTGGCTACCAGGAAGATGATATATTCGTTGGGTCTTAAAATTCCACGTAAAATATCGTCTTGGGTTAGCTAAAGAATCGATGAGTCACGGAGGCCAAATGTTGGGAAATTTTCGAGCAGATATGTCCCAATTCGGTGACACGGCTTACGAGAACATGTCCTTGATACTTCATCAGGGATAAAATAAAACTAATCTTATTAGATAGAAAATTGACTTATGTTACTGACTTGGAAATAATGGGAATAATTACAATGCGTAAAGTATTGGTAATTGAAATGTATACGAGTATTAGGCGAATCGACGTTGAAATTCAAAATATCAAATCTGTTTTTACCACACGCGCAGGAATAAAATATTAATTCGAAGGATGGAAAAAGGGGATGTTTCAACTAGGAATCAAAAGTAGGGTAAACCCAGGCTGTGTATCGGAATATTTGCAAGAATATCATGCGAATACCGGCGTTTCAGAACATCCCCCAATATTTTTCCATTAACGAGTCTCGTTGTTTCGAAAAAACATACTGCCTGACAACATGCAGGAACGCGAACGCTCCGTTCCTCCTGATTCCGCGTGTAGCTAGGCTGATAAAAACTCAGGAAAGAACGCTCGACGCTGTGGAACGTGGTGAATCCTGTATTATCCAGTGGTCGAGCGAGCAAAGTGAAAAGTTGCCACGAAAGAACATTTTCCGGCGAGTATTCATGAGGTCGGACACTACGATTTGTACAGGGAGATTCAGAAATGGAACGTCACTGCTTCGAGTTCATAAATACACGGAGTAATAACATTTTCAGCGATATTTCCATCGTGTATATTTGCATACATTACGGGCAGTTTATTAATTATACAAAATTTCATAGTAATCTTTGGGAAAGTAGATTCACCGCTCTGTAATTAAATCCATAATTAGCTTACAGCGTGTCATCGTATCCGTGAGAGTGTAACATTCTAATCGACAGACTAGGAAATACCAAGAAATTGATTTACCCAAAATTCTGAAGTTATATTAACGCGTGTATAGCTGTTTTAAAGAAAGCTGTGAGCTCTTGAACTACCACGGTTTGCCAGAACAGTAACTGATAGAAAAATTCAAATAATTAATGAAAATGTTGGAATTATTCGAATGTTTAAATTTTCGTAGACGGTATATTTTATGGAAAAAAGGTGTGGCTTCAAATATTCTCCTTGAACCATCCTGTATACTCGAAACATTTCTCTTTCTCGTGACTCCTTACTGCCGGCGCACATGCATTTTTCCAAGGTACCCGCACTTCTAAAGCTGGAAACGGTCCAGGGAGTAAAGGAAGAGATTCTGAATCGAACCACGGTCGTTAGATACACGTATGCATCACCGACGATGCATCATCCATATTTATTGCCTCTGTGAAATGAAATATTCGGAAACGAGGTCTATATAGGGGGCAACAACGACATCGTTTACAGGCCAAGGGGCCGGTTTCCTAACCTCTTAGAGAAGAGTAAGTGATGTCGGATTTTGGTCAGCTTAAATCTCGTCGGTTGAGCGGGTAGAGATCCTTGTTAAACCTCTCGTGTTTCACTTATTATAGACAAGCCTAAATGTCGGGAAATTATAAAACATTTTTACAAAATTTCTATATTTGAAATAATTAATTGTGAGGAAAAATATTGTTTGAAACTTTAAATGGAACTTTTACTTTTAGATAGGATCTTCGTATTTAGACGGTGACTATGAACTGTCCAGGAAAATTTGAATTCGCTCCACTTGCATTCGTACCATTCCTATATCATTCCTGTCGCGTTAAAACGAGAGTGTATTTCACACTTCGTGGAAAAATTTGATATCGTCGCCCGCTAAATTTTGATAGAAAAATCGCGCTATATGCTACGAATCCAATGACCTGTTCATAAATACACAATACACTTGTCGTCGATAAAACCAACGAAATCAGGCAGCAACCGCGATTCGTGGCATTATTCGCATTATTAGACGACACCATTTATATTCGTCTAGCAGTGTGCAATTCGAGTGGATGGAAAATCGGGAAACGTACCAGACTTCGAGGCCTTTCCATCTTCTCCTGATTTCGTTCGGCATTTCCACGTTCTTGGGCCGCACAAGTGGATGCATGATAAACTTCGAATTGGAAATGGTCCAGAAGACGACAGATAAAAGATCACATCTGAATTGTACCTCGATCGTTAGATGCACTTACGCATGAACAACGATCTATTGTGAATATTTATTGACCCAGTGAAATATTAGGAGCCAAGATTAAAGTGGTTGCATCTATTGTCGCATTTGGGTCGACTTGATTTGCATTAAATGGATCATTCTTGTAGTGATTCTTGCAGGCTGAAGCACCGGGTCGTTGTTACATGTCTGTTACACCATTGTGTGTCGATATAGAACAAATTGGAAGAGAATTGTCACATAGATCATCTACGAGAACGTTATATAAACATTGCATTCGTAAAACCGTAATATAAAATGTATAATGATAAGGTAATAGAGTATTATATAATTAAAATACAATTAAAAAATATCCCTTAGTAAGTAAATGTTAAATAAGTTAAACAAGTAAATTATACCTTTAATTTCAGTTTTCATTTTTAAAGTCTCTTTTATCTATGATCATTTTTTCTGAAATTTTTGTTTAAACTTTACCAACTGAAATTTAACCATTTGAAATACAGTAATATTAATGATTTTATAGAAATTTATACCACTATGTTATAACTTTTCAATATGCAGCTACCAATATTCCGAACAGAATAGAAATGAATACAAGCGCATATGTATATATACATTTCTGTGTTATATTTATTATACTATATAATCTCTTTTCTCTTCCTCTGTGCAAAACAAAAAATTCGAATATAAATCCGTGGATTAAACATTAGCTCGAGCTTTGTAACTAAATTACTTGATCGTCCATTCAAACAGACTGACGCTATAACTCTATGTACCTGACACATATATTTCTATCCTGTATTACAGTTTCCATTTTACATCTCCGTTTTATGTATAGTCCCTTGCAATTCTCCAAATATTGTTCGGAAAAATAGAGAACAAACTTTGAAACATTTCCTATCCTGTATTCGATATTTAAAAATTTTTAACGTCTAACATTTCACAAATAAAATAATACTGTCTCCAATTTTTTACATAAAGATATTATATCATCCTTTATACTAAGATATTTTGCTTTTCAAATCAGTTGACTCATCGCTGGCCACTGTTTACAACTAACGTCTCGTAATGAAATTTCAGCACCATCCGTCCAAATAGTGGACGCCCTGGGTGAACCGCTGAGAGACAAGTACTATGAAGCTGACAGCACCATCGAGTTATTGTGCGTTGTGCGTCACATAGCGATGCAAGTGCAGTACAGTGTCGTCCAGTGGCTTCACGGCAACAGAATTTTGAACTACGACACGACGAGAGGCGGTATCAGGTGATTCAAACATTTAATTGTTTTTACATTTCATTTCGCTTACTTAAAATTCGGGAAAGCAACGTTAAAGCTTCTTAAGGCCATCGTCGTTTGACAAAAGGTTACAGAGGAATATAATTTTTCGACAAACTTCATTTCGGTTATTGTCCATAGAGTAATTTTACAGCATGTCACATCGCGTACATAAATGCTGATACACGTGCAGTTCGTTTTAAATAATTTCTAGAAGCATCGCAGGAAGATACATAAATTACAGTTATCAAATTGGAATTAAATAGTAGTTAATTTATAGCAAACTTTTCAATATCTTCGAGCATAAGTAAGGAAAGGACTGATGGGAAAATGAAGCTGAAATTAATTTCGATGCAAATGTGCTTAAAAATAAATTCAACGAACGGATATTAAGGAACTGCAAAGTTTTACAGTGATTCGACATCCTAGACCACATTGGTTATCGAAACGATCAAGGACTCGCGTACTTTCCTCGTTGGAAGAATTGAAATCCATTCAATTTTGCCTCTCCCTCGTGCATCGACGAACAAGTCCCCAGACTTAGAGGAATTCATTATCTCGATTCTGCATAATTTAAAATGTCCGCTATTTGTCTTCGTCCTGGTCAAGCGGAATATATCTGCAACTCTATCAGAAGGAAGGTTATAAATTTAAATTTAAATATAAAATCAATTTAAATTAATTCGAAAATTTATAACAGTAGAAAGGAACAATGAGTTAAGGAAAGAAGATCCTCCCATTAATTATGGAATAATCGAATAAAATCTATTTTATTCCCCCCCTTTCGATTATTTCAGGTAGTATCGATTTCCAAGATTTGAAAAGAAGCTAATAAATTGGCACAAATACTATTCCGTCTATTTCGAAATCAGTTACGAGTCTAAGATGCAAGTACTCTTCTTTTTCATCTAATTTTGATGACTTTCCTAAATCGTTATTAGCCAGAAAAGTATGCACCATCCAATATACGAAAAGGCAGAAAGTAAATTAACATATGGACTCCAACTTCGTCTACTATATCCAAATTATCAAAGAAAAAGATACTCACTCCAAGCAAGTAGTCGATGCAACAGGAAACGATTATCCATCGACCACCCTGTTCCTCGTACTTACTTTTACGACGCTTTAAACCATCGTTATCCATTCGTGCGGCCAATCTACTTAAAAGCCAAATTCCAGATAATCCTTAGAGAGAAATATCACTGGGAAAAGACGCGAATCGTAACAGCCATAACTCAGAACACCTGTGCATCAATTTCGCCCGAAGCATCGATCCTACACGCCAAGTCAAACACGACAAAACACCGTGACCCGTTGGAAACGCAGCGACACGCCGCTGATACGTCGTTTCGAACTCGCGCGGGTGCTATCCGCAATGTCTGATTGCGAGCCCAAAGCAAGCGTTCGCGCCACTTGCTATTCCGTGGATACGAGCGATCTCGATGGCTCGACTCGTCATAAATCATGCACGATAGCCGACTGAACGCGGAGAGGCCGACAATCCTAGGGATGCCGGCGGCGGGATCGCGTCACGCTCGTTACACTCAAGTTATAATCCAGTGTCAACAATCCGAGCTGCCTTTCCACCCCCGTGCACTCATCCAGTCCGCTGATCCCCGTATAAACTACCCGCAGCCTTGAAATCGCCGGATGTTGATCGTCGAACCGATCTAGACGTCAGGAAACGCGGAATACACGTCGAACTAACGTGTACCAGGGAAATGTACCACGACTACGTATACACCATCGTCGGGACGGAAGGGACTCGGAAGTAGGAGTTCCAGGTTTTAATCTTTATGTATAATACAAGACATTTTAACTCATTCACTGTCTAGCAAATTTAGAACATTTTGCCTTGGACGCTAAGATTTTATTTCAAAGAAAACACGGAATCTCGTGAGATCTTATAATATTTGCTTGCAGATGTAATACTAAGAAATGGCATTTACGGTAATTTCAAAATGACAAGATCGTTCATCCTTTTTAATAATTCCTAACTTATTCGAATAGAAATCAATTTAAACTACGAGATATCTCGCAGACAGTAGCGAATGGGTTAAGGTAAAGTAGAATATATCAACCGATAGTCAAACGATTTTCATAGCTACTCCGAATTTTGGCAATTCATAACTGCATGATACAAGAGAAAGTTGTAAAAATTTCTATCTCTGGTACCGCGAGCACGCACGGGGCGTGAAAGAAATCCGCGCAAGAATCCTCTCCGTGGACAAGGGTGACCCAGATGATCCTTAACCTTTGAACGACAGTGTAGCCGCGCGAAGTGGAATGTTTCTCGCATCGCGAAAACGTTGTCGGTGTGCTCGACAGCTCGACAAAGTTACAAGCCGTAGACACGCTGGCTGCCGGTAAATGGAATTAGTTTGCACTCTGCACCCGGGTACATAAAGACGCGTGTACATAGAGGCTTGGCCTCTCGTTCCGGAGCATCCTCGTGGCGCGACCACTTGAGCCTCGCGTCGTACGTGGTAACCACGTGGCCCGTGGAAACCGCAGACCGTAAACACGTTGCCACAGGAAGCACCGTTTTGCCGCTCGTTATTTTTCTCCGGCGAAATAACTGTCCGTCCGTGCTGCCACCACTGCCTCGCGAAATGTACAACGGCGAATTATTTGTCGGCGCCGGTATTCCACGCGTGGATTTTAATTAACTCCACCCAGGGGGTGTTGTTCGAGTGCAGGTATCGGAGATACGCGTCGGCCTTCGTCCTGGATCAGCCCCGGTTGCGTTGATCGCGAGAAGAGAAGGAGCAAAGTACATCGCAAAAGGGTGTGTTTGCTTTGAAATTGAAGCTTGTGTCGTGTGGATGGTCGTTGTGGATTTGTGAAAAGGTTCCTGGGGCTTGATGACGTGGATATGAGAGTCTGGAGGAGATGGCAGGAGGGAAAGTAATTTTTGTTCCAACAGAAGCATCAATGGTACTTTTATCGATAGTGAATAATCGATAGTAGTGATATATCGTTACCTACGGCAGAGAGAATTGTTTTCGAAATTCTTTAAATTATCCGAGCTACGAGAACACTTGTCTGACTTGTTACGTGTAGTACTACTTACGGGCTTCAAAGTGTATTCCATTCAATTTTTCAGCGTATAATTTTTCTGATCAAAATTGCACGATATCGAATTAACGAAAATTTGAACGAGAGGAAAATATCGTATCGACGAACCTTCATTCTTGACGTATATGTCTTGTGAAATATCGATCTTAATTCATCAACTCGTTGAATTTAATTTTCGTTGACGTAATTCTCGTTGCACAGGCACGTAACTTACATGAACGTATTAATTAACATTTCATTCGTTTGTTCTGAAGCGTCAGTGAGGAAACGTTATCCATCGAAATGAATATTAGACGCAATATACAACGTCCAAGTCGACGAAGAAAAAGTTTGTATATGTCGCGTTGGATTTAACGGTGCTTCCTTCCATAGCTTCATTAATGTTGTTGCGTATAATAATTTTTATTTATGTCAAGGATCTTCGTGGTGTATGGTGGGATGTAATATAAGGTACTGTCAGCGACTCAAAATTTGCATAGCTGTTGTCATAATTCCCAAAAATCCCTATATCCCGTCATACGATGCTCGAGCACTAATGGAGCTTCGGCAAAACAAACTGCAATATTTGTCGAATATGGAAAGGTATGAAATTCTGAACATAGTGGAGTAGTTCTTAAACTCTAAGCCAGCGAAATACATAAGAGACGTGTTTGTGGATAAAGTTATCTCAAATTGATATCAAGCATACGAGTATAATACTGTGATATAATTAACCGTAAATATGTATATTAATTCGACCGCCTTTATTTTTTATAATTATTAAATTTACTTCTTAATTAAGGAGGTTCCCTCTTTGTTATCTCTTCTAGAAATTTCGTTTGAACTTCGTAGCTCATAAAATTGCCAAAACTTGAATATGTATTAGCCTGAAACTTCGTGTGAAAGTGAGGTAATCAATCATAAATATGACACGTGTCTAACAATTATTGATTTCCCACGTGTAAACAAAATGGAAAGTTACTGGTGAAAAGATAAATTAATTTTTGAAATAATTATAAGATTATTTGATATCTGGGGGTGACGATAAACTCAGTAATCCAAACTCGGTAATTTCGACGTGTCGTTGAAAAGAGTTGATAAAACACCTGCTTCGTTAATTAACACTTTAATTGCTGGAAGCAGTCGAAATGCCATTAACGCGAAATTCAGTTAAAGTTCCGGCGATCGGATATTCGAAAAATTTGGGAATTTCTGTGGTTAATTCGTATCGATTTAAAATCATGCAATTTCAAAAGTAGATCGACTATATCGTAAACACTTCGCATGGAAAGCCACTACCGTTTGTAAAAGCTATTTCGTTAAAGCTATTTCGCGAGCAATATCGCGCAACGACTATTGATTTTAAAGAAAAATTGATAATAAACGATGCAATTTATCTTCTCCCTTGACTTTTTCAAATACAATACACTATCGTCTAAAGGTATAGAATCTTTAGGAAAACAGCAGGACATAATTCTCCTTAGATTTCGTAAAGGATAAAAAGAAAATAACGAGACACGTGCGTTAAGAAAAATTGATCTGATACTTATATGAAATGAAAAAGCATCTCCTTAATTTTTCTCTTATTGTCACGAATTTATTGCATTTCGTATAAATAACGCTACATAAAATAAATTACAAAATCACCACAATTTTTCAGCTCGATAGTCCATGGATTACCTCGGATTAAAAATAATGAAATAATAAAATATTCTCTGATAATAATACTCGTTTCTATAAAATTCGTGTACCTATACATTTGCGATTCAAGAGTAAAAAGAGTAATTAAATTAATTACTTGCAATCAATTGTTAATACTAATACAGTACTAATACCAACGCAGTTATTAATATTATTAATACTAATAATATTATTGTTCCGTTTCGGGCAGTGCAAAACATGTCCTACACACGCGCTTCTCTTAATCGGCTCACACACACATACTCGCGCGCACGTCGGAATCCAGTAGAGAAAACAAATAGAAACGGGGACGGTTGAAACGACGCTTCGACCAGTCAGTCGAAAGAGGACGTCGAGCCCAGTATACACGACACACGATACAGGTATCATTCCTTCTATGTATTAAGGCAAAATAAGAGACTATAATAGAGACAATAGTATTATTGGTTCACGTTTTTAAGAGGACGTAAGCACCGTAAGTTTAACCATTCCAATCGCTAGACTAATCGTCTAAACGCGTTCATCGAGTTATAGTTTTAAAACAATAGCCGACTGTGATTAAATCATTCGTACGCCGGGACACGTTAATAGGGCTGCGATTCAATCCCATTTATTATACATTCGCGGGACGCGCTCGCGGGAATCATTTTTCATCGCGTTAAAATTACAGGGCCGTATCGTGGACAAATTTACAGCCCCGTGGAACGTTAATCCCATTACCCGAGCTAGTATACTCGTCTCTCGCCGTTTCTCGAGCTGGCGACGCGAGGCGTTGGAAACGGTGGACGCTGGAACGAAGGGAAATAAGAAAGGGGCGAAGGAAAGAAGGCGGAGGGAGCCGAGGGTGGAAAAAGCGTCCCAGCTGTCGGTACATTAACGCGGAAGCGAAAGAAACCAGGCGGCCTGGGATCGAGGTTGCTTAACGCCATGGATCAACGAGCAATCGTGCTCGGCCGGAGATAACGAACGGACAAATTGCAGTCGTGAAAAGTTTTTCAATTAAAGCCCACCTTCTGTTCCCTGTTTCGCGCGGAATAGGACGAAACGGGGGGTATTTATCGCTGTGCTTAAGCGACCGTGTTCGATAAGGAGATGCGTTATTAAAAATCTTGGTTACTTCGGGTAATTAGAGAGGCGAGCGATAGCGATGTAGGGTGACTCGTATATTTCTTCACACGTTCTACCTATTAGAACGTTATACTTATACCCCTTTCAGAAGTATAACCGGATAGGTGATCTTATTTAGACACTTTGATAATGCTAATTACTTGCATCGAAAGTATCGATGTTTGAAACAGATAGGAAGGTACATAGTACCGTAGATAGAAAATATCTTAAAGCTTATTACCGAGTTACATATAACCTATAACTAACTTATAACTAGCTTAGAACTAGTATTTCAACTTTGGTACGTAACTTTCTTAGCTTGGTGTGAATTTCAAAGAATAATCTTTGAAAAATTCTACTAATTACCAGGTCTCACCACATGGGGGTGGCTACGCATCGAGACCCATGTGCCCTAGTGGCGTAGCCTGCTGATGCTATCTGTATCAAAGGTATCCTAATCTAACTTGAAACGAATTAAGTTGAAACAACTCTACTGACTCTTTATTATGTTTTGCGTCTTACAAAAAGGTATTCGATTCGGTATACTAAACTTAAAACTCTACTTGCTAGGGGGAAAAAATGTAGAATAGATATATTCTCTCCAAGTTAGGTAGCTTACCTTTGCACAGATAGCATGCATGAGAAACTTAACCTAGGAATCTATCTTGTAACTACTTAGGACTAAATGCACGCATCCCACGTCGTCTGTGCAACGCGATGTTTTGAAAATTCGATTTTTATAGAACACGTCGCCTCAAGTTTCCGATTTCTATGTAATACCGTATGTAAATCGAGAAATCGGTTTTACATGTACATAATGCGATACTTTGAGGAATCGATTTCTGTATAATACAGTGCTTTAGGTATTCCACTACTATGTAACCCCTTTATATAGAGAACTCGCTTTCTACATAACAATGTACAGCGAGATCTCAATTGCTATAGAAGAGAATGTCTAGAGAATTCAATTTGTGAATAACCCGATATTTTCAGACTGCGGTTTCCACGTTATATAATATCTCGAAAACTTAATTTTCATGTAATACTATGCTCTAAAAATTCGAATAAAAATTTAATTTATTGGATTTGGACTATATACGAGATTAAGGCGCTAACAAGGAAAGATATAAAAATTTTAATATCTTCTTTATGACAAGATCCGTAAAACAGCGAAGAAACAATATAATTAAAGGAAATCGAATGAACATTCATCGTACTCTTATGTGCTCTTTGATGGTTCTTTCAGGCGTATATTAAAATTCTTTATGATGAACCATAATCCACAGACAGCCTGTACGTTATCGTCGTTAAGATTTATCGTTTTGATTTACAATCGCTTAGAAGTCGTCGTGTTTTCAAATAAAATTCACCCAGAGTTTCTTTCGTCGACGCATATGCTCCATTTTGTAGTCGTTATACACGAAGATTAAAAATCACTATTACCGAACTTCACTTACCGAACGTTCTCAGCCAAACTTATTAGATTGATGCAGAAATTCAGTCCAAGTGTAATATAGTCCCAATAGAAATGATGTGTATTTTTGTCAGGTTATCCAGCTGCACGAACACTGACAATAAATATAAAACGAAACTGCAGGTAGCGAAGCAATAATCATACGACGCGCCAAGATGGCGGCGATAGCCTAATATTTATTGCCACCAAATAATTGCTTTATACGTACTCTCTCGTAAGTATGCGAATAATCTTGAAACGATCAAACGCTTTTGATTTATTACGTTACAGCACCCCTATTATCATGGAGAATTCCTTTACAGTGTCGTTCTGTTCGTGTCCACGGGAAAATGACATCATTGTTTCTTGTTGGATAGACCAAGTGGCAGATCCATTACGGAATAATATCACTCGTGGGAGTCCAATGCTTTGGGCTCTTGTGAATTATTTGAATTAAGGTCATACGTTTTTTCCACTGCACTTTTGTTCATTAGTAACGAGAGCAGACAGTGAATAAACGCTGCAATAATTTTCGAACGATGGCTCGTTAAATTTTTATACCAGGTTGTTGCGTAATTACAACTTGTAATGGTGATAAGGAAACAATACGAGAATGTTTCTCCACTCCGATATATGTATGTAGTAATTTATATAATACTGTAAATATAGTAGAGAGCGTATCGAGGTGACCAAAAAACAACGTCGGTATCTTCGGTATAAAATGTCAATTACTCCATTTGAATCGAAAAATCCACGTTTTATCGAGTAATATAGTGACCATTTTAATGTACGATAAATACTTCTAATTAGTAACCCTTCCTCGTGCCAAAAAGGAAATAGCATTTACTGCAAATGCGGCAGTAATCATTAATCAGCCTAATATTTAAAAAAGAATATAAAAATGGTGTAAGAGGAGACCTTTTTAAGCATAAAAAAAAATAATAAAATAGCGAATTAAATTTACAGGCATATATCATACCGCCGGTACCGTAATGAAAATTCTCCATTTGTATGTTCCCTTGCAACGAAAAAAAAAAAGTGGTCAAAAGCGGAAATTGTCAAAAGAGAAACGAAAGAGAAAGGGAAAATTTGTTTCGTTGCGAATGTTAGCCGGAGATATAACCGAGAATTAAGCACGCGATAAAACGCAAAGAGAGGATAACGACGAGAAAGGGGGGAATAAAAGTCTACGGGGCGATTTCTCAAAAATTGAGCCGGCCATTCTGCCGTGCTCGTTTCCGGCCGGTTGAAAAATGTCCGTCAGAAGTTCCGTTGGAAATTGAAATTTCAACACAGCTGTACGTATGTTCCAGTGTGAAAACGGACCTAATGGAAGAGGGGGCCAATTCGACTCTCAGCATAGCGAGGGTGGGACCAGCTGACAGCGGAAACTACACGTGCCATCTCACCACCATGCCCAATCAACCTGCCACTATTCACGTGCACGTGCTGAACGGTGAGTATAAATATTTTTCTCCTGATTCTTTATGCTGATCTGGGATTTAAAATACGCACTGCGGAGATTTGCGTTGCTTAGAGAAATATTACGCGACGATAATTTTTAGGTGAATCGAGAGTGTTGCTTCTCTTTGTTAATCGACTTGGTCGAAATATAACTACAGATTATAGTTGATTAGATTTCCAAATTTACGACTGACAGTGGTTAAGGAAGTAATACAATAAAATGGTCCATACCTTCGTTATCATTTCTTGAAAATAAAATTCTTTGAGGTTATAAAATGGAAAGAGACGGATAAACTGGAATGGCTCAAGATAATACTATTTTATTTTCTCTCCACGTGCCACAGATAATACTACTTATCACTGACTCGATCTATCGCTCCTTACAGACTGTCATTCGGTAACCAACTAACGATCGTGCATCGATTATCGATTCGCCATGCACTCACCTCACTCTCACCTTTCGTTACCGATATACACGAGATTCCTGCTTTATCTTCGATCAGATTCTTACAATTCTAATGGTGAAATTTCGATACCGATATACAGGACGTAATCTATTCCTTTTTATAGTTAGCTTTAATAAACGATATGCGATATAGGTCAGATTCTCAAAACTTTGAATTTTTTTCTTTGGTAATTCGTAATTCCTCAAGATTCGAGAAAATCATGAAAGGTGTCTAAATTTTTAGTTTCTGTACGTTATGGAAAATTAATGTTTGAAATTATTTCGGGAAATATATTTCTAATAATAGCAGTATAATTTCGGAAATTTTTAGAATTCTGGAAATTCTATCGCGTTGTAATTTTTGTAACAGTTATTATAATAAATATACGCGGGATGTCCTCGCGTGTTACTCGCTGTTACTCTTTTAAATATACTGCATATCGGAAAGATCGTACCGAATTGCAATATTGCGACTCGTATTTCAACGAAGTTCACGATATCGCAACAGCCCGGTTCAGAATTTCATTCACCTGACATCACGTGCTCCGGCGACTATCTCAGCTGTGACAAATTTCACGGTTGCATATGTAAGCCAGCCGTTGCAATATCTACTGAAGGAAACAACGGAGAAATTTTAGGGAAAAAAAAAAAGAAAAAACAAAAACAGAATATTTTTATTCCTAAAATAAATTAATACTAATAATAGTAATTGATCGCGAGTTATTCATTGAAATTGTAAAATAGAATTCGAGTTAGAATATTCCAATAAATATTAGGATCTGGAGTACCAAAGGATCATAGATATTTCATTTTTTCGCACACAAGTCAATTCCCCGTCGAAAAAAGGGATTTATACGGAAATAACTGACAATTTAACACATTGAGCGCCGGTCCCGTGAAAACGCGGGTTTCTAAGTTTGTCGCTTGACTCTCGCCCCCATCATGATGAGGATTTTTTTTGCTTGTATGGATGTCTTACACGTCAATTTGCATTCACTTGTCACGTGTACGACAATTTGTATTTGTTCTACTCCGAAAATAAAACGTATACGATGGTTCAGAAACGATCAAAGCAGGAATCACTCTCAAGAAGTGTATTCTTTAGTTAGTACCTCTTTCGTAGGTTCACGCTTTTCGTTGAACAATATAATAAGTCTTATTATTCTGTAACTTTTTACCCATATGATATGAGTGACGTTTTTAACGATTATATTGCTGACCCTCCATCAGATTATTCGATACATTCAGAAGATTCTGACATACGAGTCGAGGACAGTGATAGCGATTTGGGTCCAAGGAGAATATCAAGAGCTGTTCCATTACAATATTCGAGTGATTCCGATGATTCTAGTTATGGTGAAATGTCTACAGAACGACAAATATGCAATCGAAATATAGTATTTTAAGAAAATGTATAACTTCTAAATATTTTCTTTAACTACTCATTGTTCGGAAACAAGCGAATGTGGCCGGTGCTCAGGCTTTAAATGTCTCATATACCGCCGACGCTCAATGTGTTAAAAAATCGTATTTAACGATGGTGCGGCATACATAGAAGTTAATAGCATGCCAATTTATATTAGATGAACCTCTCTGTAAGTTTTCGACGTAATGCCAAATGCTCGCGTGAAGCTAGTCCACGACCTTTATAGCGCTGTCAAAATGGAAGTCATGTGCCCAACGTTAAATATTATGTAATATTTATGCATATCACGCTTAATTACAGGTATGCGTGACGAAAGAAGTGAACGAAGTATCAGGGAAAGTAGCTTTCACAACGGAACCTGTTAAATTACGGCAAACTTAAACGCAATGCACGAAAAGACTGATAAGATATATAGAACTTATCGTTAGCAGTAAACCGTTGCAACGCAAGCGTAAAGCTCAGCCTCTGCAATGAACACGAAAGTTTATTCGCGGCTTAAAAAACAAAACATTTGAAAACAAATTTAGTTTCGCGAAATAGGAAATCTTCGAAAGATAGGTAGGTAGAAATATTTTCTATTAATAATTTCGAATCAGTTTTACGATTTTTCAAAATTCGTGCTTTTAATATAACAAGTCAGAAAGTAATTAAAAATATAAAAATACGTGCGAACGAAACTGTGATCATTTGAATCTCAAAATAAAACTCGAGTTTCTATCACAGTTGATTCGCGGAAATAATGTGTTTGAAAAATGTTTTCAACGTTAAAAAAGATTCGATATTTTCGTTTCTTTTTTCAATTATATTCCTTTTTTATCGACAAATATAATTTAAGGCGGGATGTGTAATAATGAATTAACGCGGAACTCTCTCTTTCTCTCTTTTTTGTTACTTCTATTATTTACTCTATTTCGTAGCTATTACTTTTCACAAAAGAGCCGGTTATATCGGGATTCGAGATAGCGGATTCCATGAAGACCTACAATTCACAGTTCTATTGAGCGAGAAAACGAACACGCCATTCGTTCTGTCGTTCTTCAGTTGTGTTAAATGCAAACCGTACTTTTGCAAGAAAGAAGTTTACCCATAGTTCGTAACCTTTCAATGTTAGGAAACCTATATTGCGCTACAGTGGTTCGTGCAATTCTTGTGTGATAACGCATTAATAAATAAAATTGGTCCTTTCGTTTAAGCGCAATAATCCTAAATAATAAATCTCGTGTTTAAAGTTGAAATAAAATCTTTACAATTTTTAGTCACGATTTATAACAGTTGGCATGTATTACATCAATATAGATAGGTAATATATATAATACTTTATTTAAAATACCAACCAAATTATTCAGGTTATAATTTTGATAAAGTGGTCAATTTTTAATTTGGGATTTTAATTTACATACATACGTATATAAGTACCTGGTAATTTTCTGTTTAAATCGCCGATAAATGTATATCTAATATTCTCGTGGAATAAATAAATCTTTGAAAGGGTTATTCGTAGATGAAGAATTTTATATAGAATATTGGGAAATTGCTGAAATTGATTAATAATTGATTGATTAATTGGATGTTAAATAATATTTAGGATTATACTTTACATAGAAGTGTGCACGCACTGCAATTAATTTACTCTCAACAAGAAATGATAAGCATTTCTGTTTACGCGTTTGACTTCATCCAAGTTCCATTACTTTCCTTCGTTAGTAGGATATTGTCTCCTCTTCGATAAATACGATTGCAGCATTAAATCTCCAATAAATATGCTTCTTGACCACTGAAGCACGAATTGAAGCGCCATGAAACTTCCTTCAACTTCAACATATCATGACGTTTATGACATATAAATTAAGACGAGATACCAGTTTGCATTACGTTTACATTAACGTCTGCGTAATCAGTTAAGTGATCTGCACCTATTAGTCTATTTTCTTGAGCTTCAGGAACGACACTTGCTCAGTTATTGCGGGCTCTTCGCCAAATCGACATAAACCGATCGTTTGAAAGGACGTTCGAAATTCAAACTGTTCCACTGTACCAGAAAAAGTTCCATGTAATCGTTGGGTCCAGGTACTGTGAAATCGGCCCTGATCTGATGACGTGCAGTCCTCGCATTCGGTATCTCGTTTCATTGTACAAATTATAGATATTCTCGCCCCTTGCGTATAGCATATCCATCATTTACTATATAAAAATCGTATTGGATTAACACTAGGTTTACGGGCGCTATCTGTATACCTATTTCTAAGGACACCTGTCAAATTGACAGGTAAAGGAAACCACGTGCCTTTTTTTAACGATTAATTTAATTTAAAAGCAATTATATTAGGCGAAGTAAAAAGAAATCCATTATTTTTGCATTTAATTTCATGCAAAAATAATGGATTTCTTTTTATAAATACAAATACTGGAATATTTAGGTGATGGCCAACATTGTTAACTAACTTCGTCTTTTATTATATTAGGTGTAATAAAAAGGAATTGCATTTGCATGAAGTTGAATGCAAAAATAATGGATTTCTTTTTACTTCACCTGATATATTATATTAACAGTCTTAATATAAGTTAACTGAATCTGTTACCATCGTATAATTGGAGCAACCCTTCCGTCAAATTCACGGGTTCCGTAAATTTAGTGTTAATCCCGATAATCTAACCCGATCCTATTTCTTAGTCAGTCGTCACGGTGTTAAAAGTTAGCCAGGCTCCCATGGTCCAAAGATTGATACCCGCAACCAACTCCTAATTCCCTAACCACCCAACAGATCAACGCGAAATCTAGCAGTGTTTGAGTGTACATACCGGTGTTTCAGGAGAAAGCTTAGCCGAACTGCATCATGGATCCGCAGAGGGTGTGAGCGTCAGAGGATCACTGGTACTTCTTCTATCCTTCGTTCACGTCCGGATACAGCAGGTGCTCAGATGAAGAGTCGACGACGTTCGTCGCGTGCCGGAGAGGCGCGAAACGAGCATCGTCACAAAATCGGATGTCTCCTGTGTGACACGGCGCTGGCAACCGCAATACGAACTTTTATATCATCGCTGAAGAATGCACGCAGCCGTGTGGATGCGTGAACAACTGAACGGGGATGAAGAGAGCGAGAGAAATTGGACGAATGAGAGGGAAGAGAGTGGAGGATGTAAAAGGAGGGTTGAAGCGTTGCGAGGAAATGAGCTGCAGGCAGGGGAGAGGTTGGCAGCGTCGGTCCGCCATTGTCTTTCCGCGTCGCCATGCGCCATTTTCTGTCCGAGTCGAGCTCAGAGGGCACCTCGACTGCGCGTCCTCGTCCTTCCGGTTATGGGACCTCGATAACGGAAGCAGAAGAATTTGGCAATCTGTTGGGACACTAGGTGGGCAGGAATTTGTCGATGGTGCTGGTTGCTAGGTCGGTTAGGTCAGTTTGAAGGTGGAGATGGGAAGATAGCGTGGGACTCGGTTTGGAAACTCGATTGACGGGTTCTCGGTCTCCCTGGTTTCACACGTGAGATTCGTCTTGTGCCTTTGTATTCGGTTTTGAGGTTTTAACGGAATGTTGAGGTTTTAATTTCGCGGGTGTAGTCGAGAAGCGACAGATTTGGTGAGCTAGATGTAGCGTAGGTGACTAAACGTTAGGGACATTAGTTTCAGGGAGAAAGTATCCACCATGGGGTTGAATAATCTAGTAAGTAAATCTACTAATCGTGGAACATGCAATAAGATAGCGGAAAGGAATTAAAGAACACGTGCATATCTCTTTTATGTCCTAAGTTAATTCGTGTTGTAATTAAAGGAACATGTTTTGCATCGGCCATCGTACTCGTTTATTTTAAATCGATCGTGTATGATAGATCTTGAATCGTGGAATACATAATCAAAATATAATAAAAATAACGCATACGGATTTAATATGTACGGGAATATAGAAACTACACAATTTTGACATATCTTCTTGTTCGGTACACGGATAGACTGAACTATGAAATAATTAAAGCAGATGTAGAAGAAAAATAAACTCGACACGTTCACTGTCTACAATTCCAAAAGAGTCGAAGATTTCTTTTATACGTTTCTCCGATTAGATCTACGTCCTTTACGGTAAATTTCTTAGTTAAGTAACCCTTTTGCTAAATGAAATGCGAGTCAATATAGATTCCAGCTGTATTGACCCACATACGATTCAATGGACAATGAACGTGCCAAGTTGCCACTCATCAAATCAATCAGTCACTTCACTTCCACCTTCACGCTTTCACGTTTATTTCCCATTTACTTCCCGGATTAATCTACAATTTCCCACCTCGTGTACATTCAACAGCAGATCTCATCGTCGAATCGACGCTAAAATGTAGGAAAGCATCAGGCAGAACCGTTTAACGAATAGTATTAAACCTCTCAGCAACCAGGATCGTTCTACCGACTCTACCGAAGAACCAGCTTCGAATTCCGTTGTAGCGAATAAAAACGTTCGGCTGATTCCAACCTTCCTCCCAACGACCAGGACGTTTTCTCTGAAATTTCGTACGAGAGCGCGTCGCCTAATTGTTCCGGACTGCATCGATTCGACGCAAAAAGCTTCCGCCTCGGTTCAGGCCGCGCGAGCGGGTGTTCGTTCGCGGAAAATCGGTGCACGCTCGATCGAATTTCCGTAAACGCATTCCACGACCGTTCATGCGTTCGAAACGTATAAGTGTCGTGTGCAGGGAACGTCGACAGAGGAAGCGCGGACCGTGCACCACCCATTTCCTGTAGAACGCGTGTCGGTGAAGTTCGATCAGCCCCTATATTTCCTTATCGCGTTCACTGCCGTTCCAACGTTTCGGTGTCTACCATTCGTACTATGTTTCATGGGACTGAGTGGTCCTTGGTGCGTTGTTTCTGTACCCCTGTCGATCCGCGATCGAGAGAAAGTAAGTAAAGTAGCGAAGGGATGATGATCGAGTGCGTGGAATGTATTCGTTTTAGCGACTGGAAAAGTGTGAGTTACGTGCTTAGGCAAGGATTGTTCAAATTCGTTGGTCAATTATGTAAATAAAATTTTTCTTTCTTTTCTTTCTGCTTTGGTGTTTTGAAGAAACGACTGTTCGACTTGTTTGATTGTCAAAATTGGTCGATTGCGATTGGTATTGGTGTCTTACCCTATGCTTACGCGATACTTGCAAATGATATTAATTTTCTCATCGTAGAAGTAATTAACGATATGTCTATTATTTAAAAATTAACGTCTTAAGTGGTAAATGAAACGACAGAGAGATGAAGCCAATTTTACCAGTTTGAAGAAAGAGAAACTTTATTTAAACGTCGAATCTGCCTTTCCAAGTTTCACAAATGGCAGAAAAAATTGTATACGTAAATTAAAGCAATATGTATCAAAGAAAGGATTATCTTACGTGTCGTATTCGATTTAAAGTTGAAGGACCCTCGCAGAAGAGAGTGAATTGTCGGTGGAATATAAGGTACAGACCAGTTGAGCGAGGCTCGAATTATCAGTATTATCTAGTTTTGTAAAGAGCCGGGCTAAAACGTCGCGTGAAAGAAACCGGAAGTCATCATCGAGCGCACGAAGTCGATGGCCTAGACCAAGCGATATCCAGTTCCATTAAGAAACGCGTGGCAATCGATGGCAGATTAGCTGTTGTAATGTTGCATTCGCGCGTAAACTGCTCAGGCTCGACTCGATCGCCGACAAAAATATAAAAGTGATAAAGCGCCGCATATGTCGGGCGTATGCTTGACCCTCTTCACTGAAACGAGAACGGTGTGCTTAATTCGTAACATCGACTACTTGCGCCATGAACGTTTGTATTGTACATATACTTTCTTAGTCAATGACGAATGTTACTTGTAACGTATGTTTCGTTGTTTTCTTATCGACTCGTTGTAAAATTACGAAAATTAAGCGGACAAAGAAAGCCCGGAAAATGAAAGTGGTATAAATGAAAATGTTTACGAGATTGAATTATCCCTGTATCGTTATACTCTTAAGTGAGAGTTAAGCGCAAATCCGTTGAAGCATGATCGGTTTTTCGTTTATCCATTTTCATTTCGAGGGACTAACGTAATATCGTGTTACCATCTGTGAACTTCGAAATGATAAATTAGAATATTTAAAGTGACATCGTTGTTTAACGGAGGAATATCTTTGAATCGGAGGGAAGATCGTGAACCGATGTGGGACTTTTTGTGTTACGAATTAAGGATTAAGTATAATATTTGTAAAGCATTTACGAGCGACTCAATGGGCACAATGGGACGTGAAAATGTTATTAACTGCCAACCTGATCCCAAGCTCATCAATTAGTGATACAAAGCGAAGTTTTAAAGCGGCGACAGCTACGCATTTTACATAAAATAATTTTTTCTTTTTTTTTCCCGGGACTCGTTGATCTGTCACGCGAGAGATCGAACACTCGAACGACTCGCGAGCAATCGAACGTCTGTATCGGGACAGATCGCACAGTAATACTCGAACTCGACAAAAATTCAAAGTTTTCTCCGACGGCGAAATTATAAAATATACGATATGCGTTTTACAAGACTTTGTTTCTTCTCTTTCTACCCCCGCTAAATCAAAACTTTCTTCCCTTTAAATCCAACACAGGTGTACAAACGTATTAGCTTTCAATTTGCAACAAAAATTGCGCGAAATATTTCTTTCATTGCAATCGATAGGTATATGGAAGAGTATACAAACAGAGGGCGGTATTTTCTTCTTAAAGCAAAATATTATTCTTTTAGTAATTCTAATCTCGTAACGTGATATATATATGTTAATTAAAAATAATTAAAAACAAACTACGGTATTAAAAAGAAAACGTGTCTACGAGATTATTATGCAAAAGAAATTCTATATCTTCTCTCAGTTATAAAAAATAATATTCCTCGTCGTAAAAAAATCCAAAAACAACAACCTCTGATATTCTCGACCAATATAACCTCTGATATTCTCAAACAATTCTCGGTCCTCGTTTTCCGAGTATTTCAAAATCTAGTCTTCGTTGTCGGATCTCGCGAGAAATATTTCATTCACGTGGTTTCTGAGACCAAGTCCGTGGAAGTAACACTGCCAGTAATACATGGCCCTAAAGTTACTCGTACTCAAGACGGTATTGCCTCTTTCCCATCGGAAACGTGCTCTTTCGTCGATCTTCTGGACAAACTGGTCCACGCGACGAGCTGGTACCAGCGGCAGATCCAGATAGCCGGAGATCGAAGTTTCAAGGAGACAGCGCGCAAACTACCTACGTACAGCAACCCCCATCACCTTCTATACGTATTGGTGGGAAAGCAGAGGGGGAGAGGCAGTGGGCCGACAGATTGAACGTCGCTCCATCGATCCTTGTTGATTCGACAGCAACTCTATCCGTCACTGGCCGAGGCATGCTTTCAAGCCAGATTTCTCTCTGGGCGATCTACATTTTTCTCTCCCAGAGTGGTGTGCGTTACTGGTAAGAACCTACGGTCAGAGGCCGGGGGTAATTTGTGATTCCTGTTTCCCATGGGATCCTTGGTGAAATCGCTGAAACCGAAGTTTCCCTCGAAGTGAGTCCTTGGTACACTTGAACTGGGGGATTTTTGAATATCCGAGATTGATCATTTCCTGCTGTCGTTGATGTTTGGAATTGGGTAGATTTTGATGTAGGCTTTGGAAAAGTTTTCTTTGTTAGAGAAGAGATGTTACGGAAACTTAGAACGTAGAATTTAGTATGAAAAATTCTCTTTTACTTTTGAAGATAAAGGTAGGGACATTCTTTAGCAGATACTGATACGTTAGCAAATCTTGCTTTTATAAAAACTTCGAAAAGAAACAGCAAAGTGTTGACGAGTCAACTAACTGTCAACAACTTGTAAGATTTTTTTTTAATAAATATTTCTTTAATATTCATGTACGCATCGAAATCAAACTCGAACGTTCAAATTTATCAAACTCTTAAAATATAGTTGCATACTA